AGAGAGAGAGAGAATGAGTGAGTGAGTGAGTGAGAGAGAGAGAGAGAAATGACTGAATAGGGAATGAAATAGAAAAAAATAGAAATAACAGAGAACAGAAAAAAAAGAAAAAAAGAAAAAAAGAAAGAGCAAAAGACAGAAGATAAAAAGAAATTACGAACAAGAAAAGAAACTGATAAACAAACAGAATAAACAGATACAAAATAATATAAACACAAACCGAAAAAAATATATAACCACAGAACTTAAAATCCAACTTCAATCCAAAGAGCACAGAACACATGTTATCCGAGACCTTTCGCTGTAGTAAAGTTCAACTAAGATATTACTCCAACTGACAATAAAATATAAAAGTTCATTGTATAAGCAAAAAACCGCAGTTGATTTACATATAGAATTTTTCTTCTTCTTTTTTTACTAACACACCACTAACTTCTGTCAGTATAATGTGAAAGTTTAGTGTTTGAGTTATAGATCGTACGTAATCTCTCTCTCTCTCTCTCTCTCTCTCTCTCTCTCTCTCTCTCTCTCTCTCTCTCTCTATATATATATATATATATATATATATATATATATATATATATATATATATATATATATATATATATATATATATATATATATATATATATATGTATATATATATATATATATATATATATATATATATATATATATATATATATATATATATATATATATATATATATATATATATATGTATATACATATATATATATATATATATATATATATATATATATATATATATATATATATATATATATATATATATATATATATATATATGTATATACATATATATTTTTTCTTCTTCTTCTTCTACTACTACTACTACTACTTTTTCTTTTTACAATCTGCTGTTGATATAATTTAGAAAGAAAATCCCTGTGTAAACAAAAGACCACAACTAAGTTAGATTTTTTTTCTTCTTTTTTTTACGAACACATTACCAATTACCAAAAATAAGCGCTGGCTTTTCATTTGCATATTTCGCTTCCCTTTTGTTTTCGTCTAAAGCAATATTGGCTGATAATTGTGTTCTCTCTTAATCGTTATTTTGATATTTTTATTGTCTTTATCATCATTAGTATTCTATTCACAGTCATTATAAAAATCGAATGCTTTACAAACATTATCATCATTACTATCACCATTATCAGAATTCTCATTAATAGCTTAATTATCTTCACAACTAATTATGATAAAGATTTTAATCATCATCTGACTCTAAATACTAAGATCACCACTTTTAATATTTTCCTATATAATCTATATTGCTATATTAACTATTACATTATCATACCATGGTCATTAGTATTAATTATTACCATCATCATAACATCAGTTCCTGTTATAGTATCATCTATATCACAATTATTATCCAGTGTTATCTGTTCTTCCATTCCATAAAATTTAAGGAAAGAGAGAAATTGTTCATCGAGAAAATTTATACTTGTTCTGTATATGAACAACAATGACCTTTCCTTCTCGCGGTGACTTGGCTGAAACGCGATGGATCTGCTCTCGAAAATTGCCTTTCCCTTAGTTATCTTCCCTTCCTATTCTTTGCTTTATTCGTCGTTTCTCTTCTTCCATGGTGCGTATTGTATGTCTATTTTTTTTCTCCTTTTTTCCCTTTTATATATCTGTATGTGTGTGTATATAGATACATTCATACATACACACATACATACATACATACATACATACATACATACATACATACATACACACATACATACATATATACATACATACATACACACATGCATACATACATACATACATACATACATACATACATACATACATACATGCATACATACATGTACACATATATATAGTATATATGCGATTTCTTCGAGTTTTATTGTGATGTATATATCAAAAATTATATATGTTCATTTTGCTAAAATAATGAAACACAGACGGATAACAATAACAAAAAAATCAAACCTACACAGGAGAGAGAGAGAGAGAGAGAGAGAGAGAGAGAGAGAGAGAGAGAGAGAGAGAGAGAGAGAGAGAGAGAGAGAGAGAGAGAGAGAGAGCAAACAGACAGATGAGTAGAATACAAACAAACAGACGAGTAGACACAAAAAGAAACACCAAAAACTATACAGAAAACTAAAAAAATAAAAATCAGAGAACATAGACTTCCCGCATGAAACAGAGAACCCAACCCGCGCCATTATTCAAAGTCTCACGCGCCTGGATATAGATTACTGGAACCTCTTTCGTAGGCTAAGGGGAAAGACTTTTTAGAAGATTCTGTTGAGGAAAAGGGTGGGGATTTTTTTTTTTTTTTTGTATGAAGTTGTTGTGTTTTGTTTTGTTTTTCTTGTGGGTGTGTGTTCGGTTTTTATTCTCTCTCTCCCTTTTTCTCTTTCTTTTTTTCTTTCTCTTTCTCTCTCTCTCTCTTTTCTTTTTGTTATTGTTATCCGTCTATTTTCATTACTTGTTTGTGTGTGTATGT